GCACTACCTGCAGCACAAGCCTCTCTATTGGCCCGGCTTCCAGGGTCTTGTCTCCAACCCCATGGCGTGGAGAGACCGCCTGCAATCCAGTGAGTACTAAACTAATAAATAGCGACTAATTAATGATTTCAATTGGATAGAGCAAAAGACATCAACGCAGTAAGAAGTCACTCAATGTTAACGGCTATCGTTACCTATTTATTTTGTTAACTATCGGAGAAAACATGAATTGTCTACATTCCTAATGAATACAACTAATGGTAATCTGTTATATTTTGTTGCCTAACTCTGTATGGTTGGTATCTAAATACGGTGATAATGTTTAAATTCGAAGTATGTTGAGGAGATGTTAGTACAAAATAACAAGACAACATACACCATTATTTCGTATGTTTTACGTCGTACAAACTAACATTTCCTTTACATTTTATGTATTAAGTGAAGTAGGTAAGATGATTGTATTGTTCAATTCCATAATAGTAATAGTATTAGTAAGTAAGCGTTAAGTTATCGCCATAAAGTTGCTACTATATAACATATTTGAATGTTTTAGTAGTTAAATAAACACTTCAGAACTATTTAGTTATTCTTTTTTTTGTTATAATTATCACCAATTTTACTTAACTGAATAGGTATTAAAACAATGTATTTATTCCACCACAAAATACGGTTTGTTACTTATTTACTTTATATTATAACTTATGTTACTGCGGCCGACGGCGCTGGGGTCGTATCCGTTTCCGAATAGGTAATATTCCGTCGGCGTGTGAAGGCTGCGTTGACGATTATGACTGTTGTAGCAAGCCGTTGGGGTTACGTTATATTATTCAATTGTTTTTATTTACAGTTAATCCTTACTTATTACTTTGAAATATAACGTCTTTAAATAAGTCGTTACGAGTAAGAATAGTAAATAGGTGAAGTTATTTAGTATCATGTAAGATCTTCTAAAAAAGTTATTTAAATAAAATAAACTGAACAAAATTATGATAAATAATTGAATATTTAAACATTACAATAAAAACTTTTTATTTGTACAGAAATTCAAATAAATTACAAACGTGCAAAGTTATTTAAAATAACATTTGTTGCAAAATTGTTTATTGATTGAACTGAACAATAAAAGAGACAGAAATTGTATTATTCAAAACATTCTAAGTTAAAAAAAAATAAACACTAATTAGCGTGTAGCGTATTAACTTTTAATATAACGGTTATTTTTTATGTTATATTTCCCATCATACTGGAGATATTGTACACATTTATGTATTCCATTAAGTACAATTTAGTATACGTACATATTAGACTTGAAACAGAAGAAAACTCAATAAACATTACACATTATCAAAGCATATTTATCTAACTTCAAGTTATCTTTTACTCTTGAGAATCAAGTTTTAATTTACGCTATGTTTCCTGAAATCTTTTGTAGGTAAACTTAACACAAACCCTAAATTATCCCGATTCTCATTTAAAATGAAAATGAAAATGTTTTATTGATGTAACAATAGATTATACAAGTTAATCAGATGTAGGGACTTCGTTTTAAGTAACCAATAGACTTGTGTTAGGAGGTCCTGCTCCTCCGTGTAACACATAATATTTTAAGGTATCCACAATATATCTATACTAATATAATAAACCGTAAAAACACTACTTTGTGGTGTAAGATGTCAACAATCACAGCATATTTTTGAATAATTCTTTCTTTAATAAAATCATTTAAGCTTCAAATAGCTGTCGCGTGTTTAAGTTATTCAGTTTATATGTAACCACAGTTTTCAACTTAGATCTAACTTGTGTGTGAGGCTACAAATGTAATTAGTTGATATAGATAGCTATGCCACTTTACGAGTGTAATATTGAATATCGCCGCTTATCATAACGGTGATATCCGCGGTACACACTAGCGCCCTCTAATCGCGCACTCCAGATAAACGCGTGCTTTACGCTAATTATTTGTCCCGTGTGTTTGTTACACTTTCCTTATTAATATATACAGATAATAAATTGATTATATAGGATATTGTTTGTTATCTAATTGTCTGTTTTAATTATTGAATAGATTATTATCTATACTATTGTAATAAAGCGTAATCACACAAGTCTTTGTTGCCAAAGATGTCATCAATTACAGCATATTTTTAAATAATTCTTTTTTTTAATAAAAAGCCCTACACTTACTTAACGCTTTAGGCTATACATTTTCACGGTATTAAACTTAGGTGGTAATTAAATTGGACGAAAATCGTAATCTGGAAAGAGACCATAAGTTGCTGCCAATATCAAGGAATCAAGATTGCCATGGATTGTCATCATGTCATGTCATTTAGATATTTGCAATTGATAAAACGATAAAATGATTTTTTTATAAGTACCTGCGCATGAAGCCGCATGGAAACAGCTAGTATTAAATGTAAGTACCTAAAGTTATGTCGTTTCATTCTACGTGCAAGTTGTAAAATTATTAATATAATTAATCTGTTTATTTAAATATTTATCTAATACTTGTTAAAGACAAGTTACGAGAACATTTGTAAAACTAAGAACAAATTCTTAATTAACGCGAACATGAAATTAAATCGGTTTAATAATTTTTTATCGCATTTATTTTTAGTTTGTAACTTTATCTAAATTATATTGTAAAGAAGGTTAAATGTATCATGATTCATTACACAATAAATAAATAATAGATAAATAAAATAAATAATCTGCATGCATTCGGCGCGATATCCAGCGGCCGTCGGACAGTGTTGATAACTGAAACGTTCCGATACTTCCGAGAACAGATATATTAAATTATGGGGGACTTGTAGTGTACTTATTCACGTATCTATTTATCATTTTTTATTATATTACATTCACACAATCACATTCATAACATAAGTACACTAAAGACTTTTAGGATATTTTACAAAAAAGTGTGTTTTATTGTCATTACACAAGCATACATGTTAAGAATGTAAAGTACCTAAGTATTATTAAGTATAGTTGTTGCACGCGACTTCTTAGCATTAAACAAAAAAAAATAATAAGAAATATAACCTAAGTTATCGAAGCTTTTTATTGGTTTTATTGGAGAATTTTTGAAATCGGGCCCATAATTTTTGATTCTTTTCTATACATACAAAAATACAAATCTTTCCTCTTTTAAATTAGTATAAATATAGATTGTTTTAAAAAGATTCAGTGATAATGGGCTGTAGAAATATAGAACACAACAAGGACACCAAATGACTAGGATATAGTGTGCTGAATATCTGGAAATGTGTAGTTAACAAATCACATCAAGAGATTGTTTGCTTACAACATTCCAATTGAAATTTTGATAAATTTTTTACGACTCTACATTACAAATGTAACTAAAATGTTTGTGATACATTAAGTTTCATGTTATGTAAAGGTGGTATTGATTTGTGAGCAGTTATTCAGGACGACACTAATGACAATATATAGCACTATGTATCAGACTGTAGGTCAACGTCTTAGCTCACCTTGATGACAGCCTGCATGAGGAATAATATTTGCCTATGACTTGTTTACATGTCTGTGTGAATGTTCGGTTTATTCTATACTTTGTTTACTATTGGTAGGAAATAAAAGTCCATTTTAGGCGATAAAATAACATTAACACTCAGAACACACCGGAAACTAAACTATCGCACTGTTTAGTCTCGTTTTGATTCCTATAAGCTTGTACGGAGTGCATACTACTCGATTTTTAGTTGTGCAACCAAACAGTTGAATTAGCTGCGAAACAATCGACAATCGCACAACAATTGTGCGCCAGTTTAGTCAAAGGTTTTGCGCCCTCTCTTAACATCATTTTATTACGCTGTTTATTAGTTACGATAGTTATTTGTAAAGAAATATATGCAATAGGGTAGCTCATGTCTTTGATTGCTTCCCTGCAATATTCTGCACACACTGGAAGTGCAGTATGTGCTGTTACTCGGCCGCTAATTAAAAATCCTCTACGTCCGCCTCCGCACCAATTATTAATCAGCAGGGGGAGGGGGACGAGGGAGAGGCTGCGGTCGAACTGGCCTCGCACGAATGAACTGGGACATATTTTTTTAATTACCTCCCCAAATAGGGTTGACACTGTGTTTATGTTTATGATAAATACAATTCTATTGACAATATTTTCTTGTGAAAATGTGAGAATGAGAAAAAAATGGCCCTAAAGTGCCGGTAATCGTAAGCTAGTTTAGTTAATAAAAAAAAGACATAATATTGTGACAGAATTGAAGACTTTATGCCTATCATTAGAGTAACTGAATACTTTATTTATCCTTATTGTAGTTAAATCTTTAATGAAAAGAAAAAAGGTACAATACATTTGAATAACGACGCCATTTATTGGATCAAGTATCTGTTCTGTTTGATACCTAACAGAAGTCAGCCCTGTCCCCTGCATCCCACCCCTCCCCCCAGCGCCCCCACCCCCGGCGGCCGGCATGTGTCGCCACGAATTAAAATTTCACTTCCGAATGCAGTTTTGAATGTGCGGCAGTTAGCCGACGCCCGCCTTTTATTGTGCCGCCTCGCGCCCCGCGCCTATCGCCCAGCGCCCCCTGTCGCCCACATATTAAATATTGTCACAGTATTTATGTCTTATTATCGTTTTAGGTTTAATTGCATCGTAATAATACACGTGTTACACGAATAAATATATCACCTAGGTTGCCTTATTTCTAGGAGAAGATAGTTTCGAAACATTCTAAGAGTTGCGTTTGACATCTAGTTATTTTAAAAATAAATT